ACACAAAAAGCTTTATGACATCGTAAAACTGAAGCAATTAATTTCTGCAAAAATTTTGCTATTAGGTGACATTATATGGGTGTTTACTGAGATTTATGGCTTACGTAACGGCTACCTGCTACGAAAAATATCACTCGTAAAAGAATAACATTTATTTCAAATTATGACGAGTTTTAATTAATAAGCTGTTGCAGCCTTCACTGTAATAGTGTTTCCCATTCATTATTCGTATCGTGAAAATCTGATATGTGAATAATTTTCTTCCAGGAACGCTTTAATTGAAAAAATACTTAATTAAAATGACGTTCCTGAATTTTCCTGAACATCTGGAACAGTCACATGACCGGACTCGGATCTTCGCAGAATGCTGTAATAATGCATTTCTAAACCCTGAAATATGGTTTCATTCAGTTTTGGATTAAACGATTTTTATTTTCCTCGAGTTTGCTATTTGAAAAATGACGCTTCTAGATGGAATCTTGTCAGATTCATCTAACCAAATTCGTAGTACTCTAGGTATCGACTCATTTATTTTGGTATTTCCGGTTTAGACATTGCAAACATATTGCATGAAATGAAAATTGGTCTGGTGTAAGAGTAAAATAGTCCGAAATTAAAATTAAAAATTAAAATTTATGTAATTAATTGAAAAAATACGACTGCTATGATGGAAGTCACGTAAGAGATTACGAAGATTTCACTTTATAAAATTTTCATTAGTCATGTGGAACAAACAATTAATGCCGTCATGATTTTTTTCTGTAGTATTATTGCAAAAACGTTTTTATAATCGTGCATATTTAAAATTTTTGCAAACAATTATTTAGTTGTTATCAAGTCATTATAAATCACTTTGATAAACACAGAAAAACTGCTCTGGCCTTGTCCAAAAAATTATTTCTAAATTAAATCCGGAGAAGACCACATAAAGAACAAACATAAGAATTACAACTGTTACTTGCCAATTCACATTACATAAGTAGAGAGAACGTCATCTAAAATTGCATCAAGATAATTTGCCAACTAAAAAAGGGATTTTTTTGTAAAAAACAAACATGCAATTTTTTAAATGATTAGAATATTAAATAAATGGCAAAACAATAATTAATAATTTGACTATTTTTCGCATTTATACATATAGGGTGAACAAAAAACATTTTTTAAATCATCTGCCCTTTTGAGTTGTGCCATTTTAAGTAGGTAATATAAAGTTCTTTTTTTATAAAAATGGAATAAAACATAGTTAATTGTAATCCTTACATCCTAATCTAAGTAAAAGAAAGGTTTAAAAGTAGGTTGCAATAAAACAATTAAAATTTTACAGAACCCAAAAAACAAAATAAACAATTTTTTTTTCTTAAGAAGCGGCACACATTTTGATAGTACTTTATCATATTAATCAACTGTTCTTTTTTTAAAATAAAAAGTTTAAGAGTCGAGTTGGGTGAGGCGACCAAGCAGAAAAATTACATATTTAGATCGAAAATGACGTTATTTAAGCACATATTTGAGCTAAAAACTACATTTTCGCTAAAACACTTATTTTTTTCATTAAACTTCGCTCAAACAAACTGAAAAATCTTAGAAATCTAGTTATTTATGCATTCTTTGAGCATTTATGTATGTTTTCAAGCAAAAAATTTCTAAAGACATTACTTTTTTTGCAAGATTTTGATAAAACAGGCTGAAACTTTTGTGAAATTTTTTTGTGACATGTACCTAAAATACATCCACATACTCCAAAACTACTTATACCTAAGTGAAACAAAATAAAAAACAGAGACCGGTACCAACACTGGTTGTAACAAGTTATAACAAGTCCTGGATAAACACTCTAAAATGCTCTCTGTCTATTTTTTCAAAAGTGTTGAAAAACCTCAACACTAAATAGGTATAGTTTTTACTATAAAACAAATAATCGATTGTTTTTTAATGTAAGAGTTTTAGAAAAATAGGTAAGTTCATAGTTTTTTGATAAAAAATAACAAGTTCCTAGTAAAGTGGGCGTCGAAAATTTAATAGGTAAAAAGCAATTTTTTTTTATCAATTTTTTTATTAAGTTTCTCTACACATGCATTACGTAAGAAAATTGAAAACAAAGAATTTATTTTGAAAAAATAATTTTACAACTGATTCATGTTTCGTATTATCCACTCTCCATTATAATTATTATCAGCACGAGATGTTTAAGATAATTTTCTAATTAAACGTTTAGTTAAATAAGTGATGTCATGTTACACTTATTGTGGACCACAAATCTATCATTCATTCTGTGATTTTTTATTTTACATAGAAGCAAGATGAAAAGCCTCGATTGTAGATTACATTTAGTCATAATTAGTTGTAAAAAATAGGAAATAGTAAAACGAATAGCAAATTGTTTAAGGATTAGTTAAGCTAAATTCCAAGACATTTAAATTCATTATAACCTGTCAAAGTGACGAGTTTGTAATACTCTTTGATCCTGCTTTAAAAAAAATAAGCGCTTGTAGATTCGCTGCCTGTTTAGCATCATTAATAATCAATTTGCAATTTTTTTTGGAAAAAGAAAATTTACATAAAAAACTTTGATGTTTTAATTCTGATACATAAGAAAGCTCGTCTTTTTTTAGTCCTGTGTTTAAAATTGTTAAACATTTGATAAATACAAGGATTTAGTTGAAACTTCGAACAAGGTTAAGTTTTACGTATGTTCTCGTCTATAATTAATTATTTGCTTTGATTAGTTGATTACATACGCCATTAGAGCTTCAATAAAAAATTAATAAAAGTAAAGCAGTTAAGCATTTTATCCAGGTGTAATTTTCATGGAAAGGTATTACTTTATTTGCAATGTGTTTGGTAATGTAAAGCCCTATAATTCTTATCACTTTTTGTACGTACTCGTAATACAGGGTGCGCCAGAACTCGCTCCCCAGAAAAAAAATGCCATGTAAGGTAAGATATCAAGAACATGGAAATAATGTTAAAAAAATTCTATCTATAGAAATTTCTAAGTTATGAGAATTAAAATTTTGCACTTTGACTCTATTTATTTCTATTGAAAAAAAATCAAAAACTGCAACCTAAATTGTAAATCTGTTTAATGATATTTGTGGCTTTTATTAGCAAAGTTTTTGTACCTTTACTAATTAATTATAAAAAAAAAAACATATACAAGATCATCAGTATCATTAAATGTCAAAAAATAAATGTCAAAATTTATACAGGGTGATGAACAAAAGGCGCCCACGATTGAAACGTCCTTTTTTATTGAAACATTGTGCCCATCATTCCAAAAATAGTCTAAATAGATTCTTTTTAAAATTTAAACAGTTTGTTTAACAGCACAAAGCGGCAATATTGCACAAATTTCTTTTACTAAAAAACTATTTCACTCAGGTATTTTTCGTATCTAGGAAACCTTTTTGACTTTAATCGTTTAAATTTCACAGAACAAACAACATTGAAAATTGATTTTTTTGTTGCTACCGTTTCCAATAATTGAATATTACTTGGATATTTTCTGTATCCTAGGATATTTGCAATGTTGCAACATGGATAAATTTTCTTTGGAGCCAAGAAATGGTATTGTAACATCTTCACTGAAGTTTATTTCAATAGACTTTTTACACATTTTTTAAGAACACCGTCAACAGTATAAAAATCTAGACTTTAACAATGAAATTATTTTAAAACTGTTAATTATATAGATTTCTCTTTTCTAAAAAGGAAAGTCTATATCTTACTGATAAGAGCACAAATCCAAATTTGGTCTTCGAATTCGTCTTTAATAAAAGATCACTTATAACGTGTGGGTTAACACGGGCGCCTTTTTTTCATCATACTGTATGTAGAATGTTTTAAATATCTTTTCCATGTTCCTGGTATCTTATCTCACTTGAAATTTTTCTGTGGGGTGCAAGTTCTGACACATCCCTGTATATATGTGTTTCACGAGTATGAAACAATGACTCGGAAAGCAATTTTTTTGTTATTAAATACAGGAATTGTGTAGATATGATAATTTGGAGTGTCCTCAAAAAAGAGAAAAGCTCCTCCAGCAGTACCGTTTAGACTGTCAAGGCTTCAAAAAAAATCTGACCGGAAGAAGTTAATAAACGGAAGGTAGTACTTTTAAAAAATTCTAGAAGGCGTCTTCCAGCAAGTACATGTGCGTCGCAATGTAAAAACTCTAAGATTTGGAGTAAAAATAAACACAAGATGATGAAAACCATAATTACACACATGAAAAAATTCCAACTTGTCTAGATTTTTTAACAATTATTAACACTGCGAAATAACAATCATATAAGGGTAAAACGAAATTAGTCTGAATGAGTTATATTTTTATAATTAGGTAAATAATTTATTAATAGGAGTATAAGCAAAACACCACAGAAATCACCCAAACAAAAGTCGAAATTTCGTGGTTTCTGCTGTTACTTCCAATCCAAAAGTACATACATAAGTTTTTCAAAAAAATAAATCGCAAAATGTCGAAAATAAAGGCCTTAATTTATTTTAATTTCTTAATTGAAAAAAATACTGTAAGTACGAGAACCACAAGGTGTGGTGTATAAAATCCCTCACTATTCTGTCTGATGTAACAATTCTTTACCCGCAATAATTTACTTTCAGGTAACAAAAAACTTTTTTAATTACGGCTTTTGCACCACTTTTGCGCAATACAGTACAACCTCGACATCCGAACTTTTCGAAGTCAAGTAGCTTGCTGTCACTAGTATTAACCCCTATTTTAACAAGTCAAATAATGATTAGTTTTAAGTGATTTTATGACAATGTGAAGGTCTATATAGCTTAGTTTATCATAGTGGGTGACAAAAAACGAAATTAAAATTGGGTTGTACTGTATTCGCAAAATTTGAACAATGCCATTGATTGTAAAAAACCCAAATTTGAAAAATATGGCGACCGGGGTTAGGAGGGAGGGGATAGCATCGCATGAAGAGTACGGAGTTGGAGTAGGTATAATACTCTCGAATTCTGCTCCAGCGACACAAAGTGGTTACCACTGCATCTTACGAAAGACCTCGTGATAGAGACTTAAGCGCGCGTGCGCCCATTTTTGAACATTTAAATAGTTAAAATACGCCATTTGTTTATAACAATTAAATCAAAAGTGTACTTAGTGTACCCAAGACTGCTGAAATTCAGGATTGTTCCTTCAGGATACTTACAAGTAAGCGAATTTTCATTTTGTTGTACAAGAAGGAAACGCAATAATTTTTCAAAGAAAAATTGCACTGGTGCACCTTTCTCTTTTTATTTTTATCAACACTTTCACTTAAAACATAACCGAGTGGAACACAATTCTAAATTTAGCGCGAAAAAATTGTGATCTGAGTTAAGAAAGTGTTTCATCAGATTGTGCATTTATCAAGTTCGATGAAATTCATGTTTCCCATGGTCTCACGCCCACGTTTTTGTCAAGATATCAATTCATGTAATGATTGGATGCGTATCATATAAAGCGTTTCCTTCGCTCTCCGGTATCTAATGACCCACTAAAATCCGAGAAAAGTCCATTTTTTCCCACAAAAACGGAAAAATTCTGATTATCAGAGCATTACGCATCTCTGATCTATTATTAGAACAGCATTACATTTATTTGAAAAATCGTAAATTGCTGGTTGGTTATTGAAGACCGATTTTCCGGGTAAAGTGTTGACAATTTAAAATTAGACAGTCGTTTCCGCTGTGATGTGCGTCAAAGGTTACCACTGCCAAGTGTTTTTGTGGGTCATAATTGCAAAAATCGCTAATAACTGAGTGAACTTTCCCATTGTCAAGTTAAAATACTCAATCAAGGCGATTTTCTGCTGAAGGTTGTGTAAGGCGACTAAACCGTCAAAGTAGTTTCATAGTGTCAAGGTTCCGTTCAAAAGTCCTTGTTTTTCTAATTTGTGAAAATAATTAATGAATTTTGAGAAGTTGATACAGCACATGTCCAAGAGATTGGAACAGAATCGAGCCAAGTGGGTTTGGCTTAAGTCGCGCCATGCTGTCTGTTGTAGCGGACTACTCGATGGTTACGCATTTAACAACACACAAGAAAACCAGCAATACGGTCGACTTGAAACGGGAAAAATTTCAGACATTCACTTTTCGATTAAAAGAATTCTGCGCGAGAACAGGTTGCTGAATGAGATTCCGTTTCGATTCATTTCAGAAATGTTGCAAGTTCAATCAATTGTCTTATCTGCTGCTCAAAATTTCCATTCATTTTATTTGTTGGTGATAATAACGGCTAGCAGTTATTGTTTCATCAAGTTCTAAATTTGACGTTCTTCTTTGGTGGTCCCATTTTTTCAACCACTGAGTTGTGAGGTAATTTTTTATTCGAAGAGTTAAAAATACAAAGTCCGACGTCATTTTTTAAAAACTTCAATATTGATGATTTAAAATTACTTTTTTGCATCGGATTTAAAATGTGAAATGATCATTGTGATCACTAGTATCAAATAAGTTGACTGGAAACTGAGTAAGGCTGTTGCATGTTTATGATTATGATATTTCCGTATTTTATGAATACTTCATTATCATCTGGACAAAGTGATAAACTAGTCAATTATTAAATAATGAAGTACAAGACGAGCATTTCTGTCATAAAAATGTTTAACAGACTTGTGATAAACTGTTCTTGCTTAAGTTCATTTTACTCATTTTTCCACTTTTTATAGTGTTCAAATTGAGGAGAAGATAACTTGAAAGAAATGTGGTACAACTAATTTCAATCCAAAAAAAAATTCACAGAAATTTAATAATTACAATAATTCATCGTAATTCCATTGTTTTCAGATTAATTCCTTTAATTCCTTAATTTCTGTAATCCAATTTAATTTTCGTAATTCCAAAATAGATCCCGATAGTTTTAAGAAATTCAACTTAATTTTGGAAAGAAATTATTTCAGATAATTAAAAAAAAAATTCAGTGATTCCAAAAAAATCACAATAATTCCAGTATGTAATCTATCGTTAATTGTTTTCAGATTAATTTCTGCAATTCCAAATTAATTCCGGTTATTCCTACCTAATTTCCGCAATTCCATATTAATTCTCGTAATTCCAAAACATATCTCGACAGTTATAAGAAATTCAACTTAATTTTGAAAAGAAATTATTTCTGATAATTTCAATAATTCACAATAATTCCAGTATGTAATTTCAAAAAAATTCCACCGAAATTTCAATAATTTCATCGTAATCTATTGTTTTCAGATTAATTCTTATAATTCCAAATTAATTCCTGTAATTCCAACTTAATTTTCGTAATTCCAAAGTACTAAAAAGTATATATTCCAAATAGTACTAAAAAATTCAACTTAATTTTGAAAAGAAATTATTTCCGATAATTCAAAAAAAAATCAGTGATTCCAAAAAAATCGAATAATTCACAGAAAATTCCGACTCAATTTTGGAAATTCCAAAATAATATCTGTAATTCTAAATTAAGTCAACGTAATTTTCAAAAAATATTTTCGATAATTCGAAAAAGAAATCTAGTTGCAGAAAAATTCCAGTAATTCACGTCGCAATTTACGAAAAAAAGAAAACCTTTTTCCAATAGATTTTTTTTTAATTATTTCTTGTTGTTGTTATGGTATGAATAACATTCAACAATTTACAATCGTTAAGCGGTCAATAACGCCCCAGTAACTCACAGGACTGTTAAGAGGTTTTAACAGCCCGCTTTATGACAGCCTTGGCAAATTAAACCTTCAAATATTGACATTTTCAAAATTAATTAATTAATTAAATTAAATTAAATAAACTCATTATGGCCTTCTATTACTTTTTATTTCATATTCTTTAGTAAAGATTTTTAAATAAATAAATAAAATGTAAACCATGCTAGTACCGGGTGACTGTAAATGATTGTGATTTTTATACCTCAAGTTGGTATCAAATTTAAAATTTTAATGTGGAAAATTCAAACGTCAAAGTTTGGCATCTATAATCATTGCTTGGCGACGGGCGACTACTGATTTCGCCGACACCTGAAACACAATAATCCAGTGTTACCAATAGACTTTTTGTCACAAACATTAATAGTCACTCGGTATTAAAAACTCGGCCAAATTAAGCTAAATTTAAAATAAGATTTAAATAAGTTTTTACAATAAAATTCTCGTAGTTTGATAATCCGTTATCAGGTCACTTTGGAACACTCATCATATTTTAAAATAAGTTACTACTAAATCTAATTGGAGTTTACAACGCATCAGAATTATCAAAATTTAATAAAAATGTCTAAAGGAATTTATAGATTGCTCTAATTGGTGAAATGATTGAATTAAATTAAAAAATGAGGTGCATAAAGCAACTCCAGACTTGCAAACATTTAGATCAAGCGAAGATATAATTGTCATTAATTAAGATATTAATAAACAAGTCAATAAACGCGTTAGTTAAGTGTGCGATATTTCTAGAGCGTATGAGAAGAAACTTGTGTTGTAACCGCATCTTGAACACATCTTTCCTTTGCAACACCTGGCTTATAATAACAGAAAAACTGATTTTTTATTGAAAAGAGTATTTCTATAACCGGCACCAAAGTGATAAAAATATTTTTTCTTCTTTTCAAAAACGCACGAAGAAAAACGTAATGTTTATTTTTAAAACTATCAATCAAGCATGTATGTATAACGAATCAGAACAAGTTTTTGTTTACGATCATTTAATCAAAGGTTATCAACACCAATTTGTTAAATTTTATTGCTTTAGTACCACCATTTGCTGGCATGAAAGTTTGTGAAATTTTCTCGCTTTTTAACGGTGTTTTTGTGCTAACATTGGGGGCCAAAGTCCGCGGTAACTACACCTTACTGTAGAAAACAAAAAAAAATTAAAAATAAAATGTAAGCAATAGTAGACAAGTAAAACAGAGAAAGCTTCAAATTTTACATTTTCACAGTATATTCACACTGAAATTAAAAAAAAAAAAAACTAAAAAAATTTAGACAGGATTTCTAAAAAAATTGCATCTGTTTTTGTGCACAAGCTTTTCTTTCTCATTCTCCGGCAGTTTGATTTATCAGTTTATCACTTTATCAGAAAATCTCTTCAATTGAAGTTCAAAAAATTGTCGCTTGTTCAAAATTTAATAAATTTTTGTCGATAATAATATTTATAAGTAAATAATCAAAAAATAAAGAAATATTCTAACAAACTAAGTGATTTTTTTGACACTAATTATTTGTTTTTCAACTTTAATAACCTCTAACTTTTAACACATAGGTAAGCAAATCTTTTTTTTAGTTTTCAACTTTGTGTTTATCGAAATTAGAAATATACAGGTTGAATATAAAGTATGGAACCAAGCGGTTTTTTTTTTTGTAAATCATTTGTCCCAGAAAATAATGATTAATATAAATAAAAGTAATATAAAAAATGTGATCGTATTTTGAGAACGAAATTTTGTTTTGTTTTTAAGTTATGCGATTTTTTTTGTCAAAATTGCAATTTATGTGTTTTTTTTTTGATTAAATATAAAGTAGATAGTTGTAATCCTTAGATCATAACCTTGATAAGAAAAATGGTTTTATAGTAGGTTTCGAAACATTTTATTCTTGATAAAACATTACATTTTTATAGGGTATGTCAGAACTCGCGCCCCAGAGAAAAATTTCAAATAAGATAAAATACCAGGAACATGGAAAAAATTCCTTTTTAAAAAATTTTGACATTTATTTTTTAACATTTGACAGTTTTTTATGTCTATTTAATGATACTGATGACCTTATACAGGTGCGCCAGAACTCGCGCCCCAGAGAAAAATGCCATATAAGGTAAGATACCAGGAACATGGAAAAAATGTTTAAAAAATTCTATCTCTCAAAAAATGTTGACATTTCTTTTTTGACATTTGACATTTTTTTATGTCTATTTAATGATACTAATGATCTTGTATATGTTTTTTTACAATTATTTAGTAAAGGTACAAAAATTTTACCAATAGAAGCCACAAATAAGATTGAACAGAGTTACAATTTAGAATACAGCTTCCTTGCTTCCTCTTCTAATAACTTATAGCAAAAAAACTTCAAAAAATATTTTTCCAACAGAAATAAATAAAGTCAAAGTGCAAAATTTAAACTCTCATAACTTCGAAATTTTTATAGATAAAATTTTTTTAACATTTTTTCCATGTTCCTAGTATCTTACCTTATATGGCATTTT